CTTGGTAGACGAGCAGAAGCGCTCAGAGAAGAAGAGGTCAGGGACACTACGCTGGTATGTAACAATTCAGGGCTTCAAAATCATCAACGATGAAGAAATATTTTAATATATAGTTAATACCTCAATGTTCGAGCATAAAAACAAGGATCATATTATCCATATATTTTTGCGCTATGTCTTAGAGATTGTTGCGCGTGTGTCGAACACTACCAGAAAGATAAACTTTGATCCAGTAGAATGAGATCACCTTGGTGAGTAAAGATTGTTACGTGCATGTGTCGAGTACTACCAGAAAGATAAACTTTGGTCCAGTAGAATGAGATCACCTTGGTGCGTAAAGATTGTTGCACACGAAGATTGTTGCACACAAAGATTTGTTTTTTTTCAGGATACCAAAATTTTCCTAGACGAATGTCTCTTTCGAAGGATGAGACAAAAGATTTCATATTTCCGAAAATTGCCGCAAAAATCGCAGCAAAAAATCGCCGCAAAAATCGCCAGTGTAAACACAGGTAGCCCAAGCTTGGTTTCTGTGATGTCATGTTATAAGGAAATGTATGGGGATTCATCAAAAATTTCAATAAAATCATTGAAACGTGAAATAAAGCCTTTAAATTTTGCCCGATCATTGAGAAAGAACACTTCTTTCGCTCTGTGTGGTTATTTTCTGAATTTAGCCCGTTTTGATGATTTTTTCCCCACCAGTCTTTCTTCGAAATTATGGTGAGTGTATTACCACGAAAACCAAGCTTGGGCTACCTTGGGCTTATTCTCGACTTTCACATCCCCATAATGCCTTGCGTTTTTGGGGGTAACCAATCAAAATACCTGCTTTTATCTGTACAATACTGATTATCAGTTTATTCCAAGCTATTTTTGCGTGTACAGATAATCAAGAGTTTTGGTCTTACAGAAAATGTATTAGTACGAAAAAATGTTTAAAATTTACCTTAAACGTCTTCAAGCTTCTATCTTTTTCTGTTCTTTACTGATCAGCCTTCAGAACTGTGTCAGCAAAATAAGTAGTGGGTTTTTATCCTCTGGTTACCCCCCAAAGACGCAAAGGATTATGGGGATGTGAAAGTCCAGAAATAGAGGTGCTTTTTCCCAGCATGCTTTGAGTAGTAGCGCCCAGGCCCCTATCAGTTTACTACCCGCTCCCTCGTGTTCTTTTGGCCTCTTCATTATACCTTAGTTTTCTATTGCTGTGACATAGTCGTGGTGATACTTCAACATTAACCCGAATCTCAAAGAAGCTAGCAGGTAAAGATGACTTTAACAATGTTCAATGAACAATTAAGAATCTTCTATGACGCTTTTAAGTCGGGTTTATGTTGTTCAAATGCTCAAATAATGGCAAATTTTTTGCGTGTTTTCTATAAAAACTGTCGTGTTTCGTTTTTCCGACGGAACTGTTAGGGCTTTGAAAGATTTTAACTGCTACGTTGTCGCTCCTAGAAACAGTCCATATGGTTACATTTTCTTTCTAAAGGCTTGTTGTAATTTAATTTCTGCTATGGGTCTAGTTCTTGTCGAAGGCAACAAAACTGAAAGGATCTGAATGTGTTTTCCTCATGTCAAATAATATGGTTGGTAATCAAATCATGACAAAAACCACGCCGACTGGTTGCCCTCGCAGCTTCCATTACACACATCATACTTCAAAAAGACCACATTTTTCTAAAATACATTATTAAAAAGCTTAGAGAGGGTTCGATGTGTTTTTACAATTATAAAAACAGACCACGAAACGTTCAGTATAAACCTTACTTGATTTTAATACTTGATTAACCGGTTTTCGCTGAATCGGCGAACGATCAGAAATTTATATAATTTCCTGTTTATGCTATTCAAATATAAAGCTTCTCATTTCTTTCCAGACGTTGATCAAGGTTCTTTTCTGTTAGGTATTTTATATTTCCGAGGGTCTGTATTTGTTAATAACGATAATATTTTTTTGTAACCACAGCCAACTGTTATATGAGTCTTAAGCAACAAAAACCTACTCTCAGTGGTCAGCGGATCAAAACCCGCAAGAGAGGTAGGAATATTGGGGAAATTCATAAATTAGGAGTGGTTAATGCCCTCCTTTCTATAGTACTGATAAGTCTTTAGTTAGTTATGGTACATTGGATATTAATGTTGATATTGTTATTTGAATCATAATTCAATCAATAATCCATTTTACAGTTACATTCAGTGACCACGAATAATAGTCTCAAGCTGAGGCTGCACATGATAAACTATAGTTTTGCTATGGGTATCCGATTGTTTTGCCTACCCATTGGTTCGCCTATTGAAGTTTGCCTATGTATAAACCCTGCGTTCTGAAGTTCGCCTATGTATCAAATGCATTATGTAAAATTCAAGGAAAATAATGTAAGAGAAACAACACAAATGAGTTAAAAACTTTAGACGCAAACAAATGACTATAATGTGTGACATCAACTCAATTAAAAAAGGAGACATTACACAAATCTGTGCTTTATAGTTTGCTGGTTTCATTGACGAGTCCTACACTCTAGTTGATGTCACACATTATAGTCATTTGTTTGCGTCTAAAGTTTTTAACTCATTTGCAATGTTTCTCGTACTTTATTTGCCTTGAATTTTACATACAGATAAACATAAACATTTCTAGAGATAAGAGTTGTGTTTTTCACTAGACAATTTGGCAAACAAGCAAATATTTCTTACACAAATCTGTGCTTCATAGTTTGCCAGTTTCATTGACGAGTCCTAACACTCTTGTTATTGTCACACAACGCTTACCAGTCACTCATTTGCGTCTAAAGTTTTCAGTGTTTCTCTTGCTTTGTTTGCCTGCTATTCATATAAAACTATCCTTTTCCTTTTTTACAGTATATTAATTTTATTGTCTCCCTCTTCATAGATAGGTAAACCTTGCTATGAGCAGAAGCTGCAACCTCAACTTGGAACTATTTTTCTTGCTCACTGAACGGAACTGTAAAATGGAGTATTGTCATGCTATGTCTTTCCCTTGTGAAAAATATATTTACTAGAACCAGGGTTATTACTTCTTACACCTCACTGCTGGAATTTTGTCATGAACATTTTTTTGGTTAATTTTCTAAGAGTGATATAATTTTGTTTCTGTATACCAGACATAGCACTTTACTCATGTTTTGGCTGACATTTGTTAAATTATGACAGTAGGAGTGAGTATTCATTTTTTGACCGACAGTAGCTAAAAACCTTAGATGTCTAAAAAGTGTAGAGGTGTTCCAAACATGAAAATCACTTTACAGCTATTTTTATAAACATGCAAACTCACAAGCTGCACGCTGAAATTTAGTTTTCTTGCTGCCATGAATCAAATCTGATTAGTCGGTACCTTTCATATTTATGACTGACAGGATTGAATAATCAAATTTTGGCATGCAGTTCACAGCTAGAGAGTTTGCATGTTTATGAATATAACAGTAAAAACTAGGTATCATAATAATATCAACAATTATGTTCATCAAAAGTGTGTTAATAAAAATAAATAAAATATAATAAAACCATAATAAAAATATACAAAAATGTGCAAAAACAAAAACAAAGCATATACAACAAAATGATATAAGATATGTATAATCCAAAACTGTCCGGTTGATTTTTTTTCCAGAGCACTGTTCTTGATCTTGTCATTTAAAGTTTATCCTTTCAAATTCTTTTATAAATATTCTAAACTAGTTTTATACATTACAGACGAAAAAGAAAAGCAGGACCCATTAGCTTTTCGAGATGTCATAATATCTGGACTGAATGAAAAACCAGTTGATGATTTAGAACAGGTACGTTTTTACTTTTGAGGGTTTTGTAGGAATTTTCGACTTTCACATCCCCATAATGCCTTGCGTTTTTGGGGGTAACCAATCAAAAAACTGTTCCAAATTGAAAGGTTTCTTAATTGAATTTATACTATACCTGCTTTTATCTGTACAATACTGATTATCAGTTTATTCCAAGTTATTTTTGCGTGTACAGATCATGAAGAGTTTTGGTCTTACAGAAAATGTATTGACTTACGAAAAAAATTTTAAAATTTACCTTAAACGTCTTCAAGCTTTTATCTTTTTCTGTTTTTTTACTTCTTCATTTTATCTTTGGATACCAAACAAGGTATTTTCAACATTGTGTAATCAGCCTTCAGCAAAATAAGTGGGTTTTTACCCTCTGGTTGCCCCCCAAAGACGCAAAGGATTATGGGGATGTGAAAGTAGAGAATGATTGGATAAGTGTCTTTCCCTGCAAAATTCATTGTTTTTGGATAAGGGAATGGAGGGCAATTATGTTCTCAAATTTTTTTTTACATATGAAAACAGTAAAGACCAGACATCAATCAATCTTCAATATTTCACTTTCTGATTGAAACTATGAAAATTCTATGCGAATAAATATCTTAAATTTTAGTTCTTGATTTGATAAAGTTTGTAGCAAAGAACTGTACATCACATGTGCATCTTGATGTGAATAAAGTGAGAGATCACAAGATTGGACATATAGATAATAATGATTGTATTCATGTTAATTCTAGATAGCAAAATTCCTTGATATCTCCGGGGGCAAGCAAAACTACCGGCTGTATGGAGAATATCTTTTTGATATTCTATTTGCAGGTGGAATTTTAGGTAGGTCCAAGTAGTACATTTAGATACTTAATGATGGTTTTTGTTTTAACAATATCATGATAGAATGGAAAATGTTATTCAGTGTGGAAAAAGACCCTTTTTGAGTTCCAAATTACCGCTGTGTTTCTTGATTACAGACTTTACTCAGGGTTAGCCTCGTATCAGTAAACAAATATTCACAAATACCAACGGTAAAGTAAAGAATGCGCAACTTCAACAATACAAACACTTTGAAACTTGATGGACCTTGACTGGAACATGTGAATATTCTTCACAAAATCAGGGCTAACCCTGAGTAAATGAGTCTGTAATACTTATTCATTTGTCTCATGATTGAGGGTCATTTGTAGAAGGACCGCGACATTTCGACTGCAACTTGCTTGTCTTAATCAGGCGATGGTGTAGACTGAACCATCTAAACCATTGCCTGATGAAGACTAGAAGGTTGCAGTTGAAACATCACAGTCTACAAATGACTCTCAATTGAGAGACAAATGAATAAGTACTATATATTAATATCATAATGTAATGTGTTAGCTATTAAAGTTTTGACTTCACAGTATGAACATAGGTATAAACATATAGTTAATTAGTATTATTAATATTTTAATGCCCAGATGTTTTGCCATCAATCTTAGACTCTTTTGCTTTAAAATAAGTATTATTTTTAATTTCAATATCAGCAACTTGAAGTCGATTCTTTTCTTCAAGATTTAAAAAAAATAATCCATCCTTACAAACTAATGAGGATTTTATTTTATTTTCTGAAGCACCCGGAGGAAGCATCGTTGAAGATGGGAATCCAAAAACATGCAGGACAAAAGTTTGCATTTTTGAAGCAGAGGAAGATCCTGAGAAAATAAGAAAATATGTGCAGGTAAACTTGTATTAATGTATCTCAAAATATAAAAGAAAAATATTGTTTCTGTAAGAAGAAAATTTGAAAATAAAAGGAAGAATACCTGTCGTTGCGTTGCCTTGCCAGTTATTTTGACCAGTAATTTTTAGTCAGAAACAAAAGCTAAAACTAGTTTGGCCTGTGATCATGATCGGCCATTATTTTAAGCCCTGGGAGAGTTTTTTATACCAAAAAATACTAGTGGTCAGGGTTGTCAATAGAAGCCAGCAACTGGCAGATTCTGCTGTCTACTCTTGCTAATTCGGCCGCCTACTTAGCCACTTCCCAATGTAATTGTAAATCTTGATTAAAGTTCTTTAAACTAGCGAAATGTGTGAATAAAATAAATTTTAACCCAATCTTTGTTGCTGTACTACGAAAACTGCAACACAATCGAAACTACAATGATCGTTGTCTGCCATCTTGAATTTTTGTGAGAAGAGTGAGGCTGGTGACATGTATGCCTCAATTACATGCTCCAGTAATTTCCGGTTTACTGTCTATTTCAATTTCATAACCACCTACCAACAATTTTATTGACAACCCTGGTGGTAAGTGGGATATATATATTATGGTGTGCCACAAGAAAGCATTTTACTATTGAACATACCCTATACATTTAGTTAGCAATATATTCAAAATACTGCAATGCCTGATGTGAAGAAACAGTAGAATACCACCAATCCTGTGGAATAAATATGTATACATTAAATGCTAGCAATGGAGGGATATTTTTACTTACATTAGTGGCTTTTTTGTAGATGCTGAACAAGCTGATATGCCGCTACAGGTATCTGCAAAAGGCATTTGAAGATGAGATGCAGAAGGTAAAAAGTTTCCAATCTTGAAACTTTTATTTTTGTTTTTGTTTCATCTTTTGTAAGGCCAAACAAAAATGTTAGTGTGTTTCCTGTTGTATAAGAAAAATAATTGAGGTTGGTAGGCCAGATTTTCTCTTCTTTTTTATTGATACAAGAGTAAAAATGAGCTTACTGGGAACCCTGTGGTGCATTTGGGAATGAAAAAAAATATTAGGGTCGCAAAAATCGGCAAGAAAATTAGGGTATTAAGAAATTAGGTATTTTTTTGTTTGGCCTAATATTAGTAATTAGTGGTAATGAATTGTTGTTGATGTATTTTTAAAAATGTAGCTAAAATCAAGTTATCTTTTCATAGATCCTCTTGTTCCTCAAGGGATTTTCTGAGGCACAAAGAAAGAAGCTTGCCATAGCAGCTGGCATTATCTTGGCTAATGGTTTGTTTGTTACTGTTTTTTGGCATTATATATTTAGAAAACAAGGGTTTAAATTAATGGCTGATCAGTCCCTGTTCATGATCACTGGCCAAATTAGTTTCAACTAGGTCATACCACATTTGTGGCTCAACGTTACTAGTCAAAATGACTTGCAAGGCAAAGATTTGACTAGAGATTATCCAATAACTGGCTTTTATCTTAAGCCTTGAGAATCTTTTTACAATATATTAAGATATGATGTGTACCATATTTACATGATGCTCAGGGAAGGTATGTTTTTTATGGTGGGGGGAGGGCTGGGGCTTCAGTTGGGAGGGGGTCCTCTGTAAGAATTTAAACTTTTATGGGGGGTCAATTTTAACTAAAGCTGTTTTTTTATTGACTTAATAGGAGGTTCTTGAATTTCTTACTGATTGAAAAGGGAAAAGTCACAACCACTTTTTAATTATTGCCAAGAATCCCTCAGCACCACTCCCCAAATAAAAAACATACTTTCCTTTACAAAGTCCAAATAAGATTATCAGGGGTCAGATTGATTGTATGCCTTCAACTCCAATGTCATAGCCTGTATTATTACACTAATGATGCTAATTATGACTTTTTCATTATCAGGCATGTCCCCAGCTACAACCCTGAACAGCTTGTTTAATGATCAGCTTATTAAAGAAGGTAACTGTTATATGGTATATTAACACCCACAGGGTAATGGTGTACAACAAGACTTTAAATATTCCCGAGTGACAGGCAACTATTGGCTTTGCATTGACTGTCTGCCTTTGCACGGCTGACACTGGGGTAGTTGTGGATCAATGTGTGTCAGCTGCTCATAGACCATTTTCAAATTAGTGAAATACCACTGTTCATTGTTCACAGACTCACTTCAGTGAGTCATTTCAGTGTCCAAATATTCACAAATACTGGTAAAGTAAAGAATGTACAACTTCAACAATCTAAACACTTTGAAATTCCATGGACCTGAATATTCCACAGTCCTGAATGCATGAATATTGAAAGTAATCCCAAACAAACGAAATCGAGGCTAACCTTGTAGAACAGAGAATCCAAAACTGGAGTATTACACAGGGTTCGTGTTACTCCTTGAATTCAATTCACATTTTGAACTTGAAAAACTCTCAGTGAGTTTTATGATTTTAGAGAAACTCCTTGAATTTCTGCTTTGATCATTACTTGCATGGTTTTGAAATAGATCTGGTCATCCGAAATTTTTTGACATGTTTCCATATAGTTGGACTAAACTATACGCAAAATACAATATCAACCAGGTGTTACTAATTCCTTTAATGAGGGGTACTGGAAACAGCTTAGTTAGCTGAACATACTCCTTGAAAAATCATCTTTGGGTCCTCAAATACTCATTGAATAGTCCTTGAATTTTAAATGGATACCTCAGCATGAACCCTGATAACAGGATTACCCAACCGTGGGTGGGTCCAAGACAATCTTGAGGAGATGGATATTAGAAAAAGAATAAAAGGAATGCATGAAAGAGGCATCACTATCCCAAGGTGCCACACTTTACATATGTCACAACAAAATATTTAGTATTTGCCTTTGCCAAAAATGATGACAATATTTATTTTCTATTTTACTTTTTTGCCAACAGGGATTGCCCTAGACTTTGTCACCGACCTTTTTGCAGCATGGGTCAAAGAGAAGGACTTTAACAGTCTTAGTATGGCCCTGAAAAAGGCTGAACTGGAAAACAAGCTACTGGTTAGTTTCCAATAAGCATATTCTTTTTTAAACTATGGTGGCATTACTGACAAAACGTGAATGTTTTTCTTAGGACTTTTTCCCGCCAAACAAGAAGACTCTTGAGCACTTTGAGGCCCACTTCACAGAGCATGGTTTGAATAAGCTGATAACATTTCAGGTAATAAAAAAGAAAGAAAATATGCTATCAATGTAAAAGATGCTACTAAATTTATTTATTTGTTCTTAATGTTCAAATAAATTAGGATTGGTCATTGATTAGGATGCTTCTATAGAGGTTTTGGTGCATGTGGGAGGTTGAATTTTGAACCAAATGCTAATCGATCACCAATGCAATCCAATGACCAATCAACATTGCAAAACCTAAAAAAAATATTTGGTAATCGAAAAATTTCTACTCTTTTTTCTATTAAAATCTTAATTAATATGCATAGTGTGACATCTTCTCAATCACCTCAGCATGCACCATTGAAGAAATAGGAAACGCATGCATGTGCTGTGTGCAGTTATAAAGCACACGGTGGTTGGCAGAACATGAGAGAAGCGTTAGGAGATGCACTATGCATAGCGGAGTGCTTCTCAACACTTCTTGAGTGATCTGCCAATCTTCAAGTGCTTCCAAGTGCTTTATAAACTCCACACAGAACAGCAAACAAGTTTTTTAATTTCTTTCATAAAATACAAATGAATGATGAAACTGAAAGTGCACAAGCCTGCGGTATGCTCTCATAAAGCACATGCTCCCAACCAATCAGAATGCGAGATTTAGAGCAGTTATTTTATAAAGAGTTTTAGATGCTTGATTATACCAACCACATATGTCATATTGTTATGTGTTGCGAGTCTAACAACACACGCTGCGCTTGTGGTTCCACTTAAGTTTAAAAAATTTTTAGAAGTCATCTATGTTCATTAAAAGGACAGACAATGGAAATTTATGAGCGATTCGTTTTTTTACAATAAAGTAAATAAACATCTAAAAGCAAGGAAAAAGTTTAAAAGAAAAATGGTTTCAATCGCTTGCTGGCTCCGTGTGGGAGCAATTCGTCATGCCATGTGTCTGTCCTCTTAATGATCATAGCTGTCAGCCAATTTGATTGCGAGAATATGCTCTGTTACTGTAAAAATAGTGATAGATATGTTTTTGTTATTATTGTTTCTAGAGAGCCAGGGAAAGTGTAGTGTCCAAGAAACAGTTCCAGGCAAACATCAAAGAGATGCTCAATACAGGAAGCCCAGTGAAAGAGGTAATCACCAGAAGTATCAAATACCAGCCATTTCATTACATGTCAGTTTCGATACACTAAATTTTGGGCAATTAGTATATGTGTATTGGTTGGTCCATTACATGTGTATGTTCATTTCAGTACTCATGTCAGTATTCAAGTCATAACATGATAGTATTTAAAATGAGATGGCCTTCAGGATATCGGATATATTTTCTCCCAACTAGCTGGCAATATAAACCAATATTAGTGTCTCACAATTGCAAAAATCTTATCCACATGTTTTGATTGACTTCCCTTTCAAAAAACATTTTTCAAAACCAATTGCAGCATAGCATGTTATTCTGATAAAAACTTAACTTTTATTTTTCAGATCATTGTTTCTTTAAAGGATGAGAGGAAAAAGTATAGCATACCTGAAGAAGATGCAGTTTTCTTAGTAAGTCATTAAAATAAGGATTAATTATGTATATAATTTCAAACTGCTTTGCAGTCACAGCGTTTTTACCAGGCCGTGCCATTGCGGGAATCGTGCATAAAAATCAGAAATGGTGAACAAATTTCAATGAATTATCCAAAGAATACTTCCTGATAATTTTAAAAGATTTAGAGTACTTTTGAAATAATAAAAGTTGCATTATATTGTCAATAAATAAGATGAAAGTCCACATGCAACGACACGAATCGAACACAGTCTATGTTAACTGACCTTGTTCATTGGAGGCTCAAGTATGGCTTCCCAGCGCAAGTTTATTGTACTATCATTACTAATAAAAAACTGTCTTACATTGTTGTAGATTTGCAACAGAGTTACTGGCTAAAAACATCATTATTCTTTGTTTTAAGATATTGGAAATGACCCATCCAGTTTTCTAAATGGCCCCTAAATTTCGGATTGGTGGGCCTTTTGACTCCCTGAAAGAAATTCCTGGTCAGAACACTGCAGTCATAGAGGGTAGTTTTTCAAGATCCTTTTTAGTTAGTAAAAAGGCTACTTTACTCTTAAAGCTATAGTGTTTCGGCCATTTTGCTTCTCATGCTTTAATTTTTGTCTAATAGAAGTGTGATTTATTAGCTGAGAATGGTTGTGAAACTTATGTGTGACCCAATATTGTGTGTTGTGGGGTGTCCATATTATTTCCACACTTGAAAATTGCAGTCGGTGCTTTTATTGAAAGTTGTTTTGATATTAAAGAGAATAGATTTTTTCAAGTACTAAAGTGGTTGATTCTCTCTCGATAATCCTTTTTCCCCTTCTGTTTTGTGTTGATTGCATATATCCTTCGTAACTGTTACAAAGCTAGGCTTAAAAACACTCTACTAAAGAAAGCACCTGCTCTTTCATCAAGCTGCCTCCACTAAGGAACGTAGGCACAAACATATTCTGCTGCCTCATGTTCAATGTTGTTAAAATCGTGTGATATCAGTATTATATTTTATTGGATGTTCGAAAATATAATGACAGCTAATTGACACATCATGAATATTAGGGGTAGGCTAACTGAACACAGTACTGTTTGGGCCTGAAGGCCAAAACAAACAAAAAACACTGTTAACTTAACAAGCTTTCATTTAATCAGTCAGTTTTACTTATCTCTTCAAATTAGCATATTCTTTGTAAATAATTTTATTTTGTCGTTGTCTTTGTCGTTTGTTTACTAGCGCTTAGAACAGATTTGTATTTGCGCTTTATAAATAAATATTATTATTATTATTATTATTATTATTATTATTATTACCAAGCATTGACCAAAGACCATCCAATGGTTGATCGATTGATTGATCAATATATTATCCATCCATTTCAATGTGTGCTAATGAATGCTCCTAAATATTGAGTTTTTTTCACAAATTAAGCATTGTTCTCTGTAAAATTCCTTCATAGATATGGAAGGCTATCATGCAGGAGGTGGAATGGAACAAAAAGGAAGAAATTGTGGCAGATCAAGCTTTGCGTCATTTGAAAGTGAGTTCATCTCATTTTGAAGTACTTATAAATTAGCCAGACTCTGTGAAGAGTGCAGTAAAGAACTTGACTGATATTTGATGACTATTTGGTATCTAAAATGCCCTTTTTTGATCCAGACCTATTCTCCCCTTTTTGCTGAATTTACCACTACTGCCAAGTCTGAAGAGAGCCTCCTGATCAAGATTCAGGTAAGGTTTCACTGCCCTTCTTCTAGTTTTATAGCTTTACCTGTCATGACATTATAATAATATATACATTAAGAGTTTGGTAATTAGATTTATCTAGTGGTACAACACATGGAATTTTTATGAATTAGTGCCAGGTTGTTCAAAGCTGGATTAACGCTTATCCAGGATTAACTCTATAGGTCTTATTGAGAGTTAACCCAGGATTAGCACTAATCGGTCTTTGAACAACCCAGCCCAGCTGGGTCCAGTGCACTGGCAGTTATGTAATATACCAGAATACCTTTGTTTCAGTATCAGCTTCAATGTTTTGAACCCAACAATGATTTTCCAACTCAGTGTTTGTAATAGTCCACTTCACAGTTACATGCGCCATCTTGAAAGTTTACTGTGGCTGTGCATTGAAGCGAAGACAACAGTGAACTTGCAATGATAGACGTGAATAATTGTTTAAGATCTTAAAATAGTTCTTTCATTGCAAGGTCACTGCCATTCTCGCTTCAATGCACAGGCATGGTTCAAGATGGCACAGGCAACTGTGAAGGGGAATATTAGTAAAGTTGTCATGAAAGTATGTTATTATGGTCATTGAATTAAACAAGGTGCAACATGCAAGGTGCATCCATTTATATCAAACATAACGGATTTATTATATGCCCTTGAAATATCCGTTAGGAATACTGTTATGAGAACATGAACTTCATGAAGGTGTTCCAGAAAATTATTCTGCTGTTTTACAAAAGTAAGTTTGTCTCAGTTTTTATGTTAGTCAAACTACTCTTACCAAAGCCAAAAACTTGAAATGTTTCAAGTCATTTCCAAATTTAATTGATTTTCATCCAAGTGCCCCTTTAAAGTTGTCATACAGACATTAGTAAAAACTGTGAGGTTTCGTAAAGATCACATGTTAACTATTGAAGATATTATTTTTTCAAATGTTGACAGGCAAAATTTGCCTATCAGCATACATTTCTTCGTAAAAGTTGTAAGTTTCAAAAATTCATACATATTCTCTGGATTATGGACAATCTTCACAAAACGTTAATTTTTGTACTAATATCTATGGAAATTTTGACTGCAAACTCTTTTTTCTGATAAAACAAAAAAAAATTGATAGTGTGATGTCACAGTGAAAAACCTCAATAGGTCCATATGCCAAATAAAAATATGGCAACCAATTTGAATGACTTGTTTTGCACTGACTAGCCTCACGTGCATGTGGAATCACAAAAGCGTTTTCACATGCATACTTACATACACTTTTTTTTACACGTATTAAGAGGCTAGTCAGTGTAGAATAATAGCTATTCAAATAATTGGTCGCTATAATATATTGATTCAGTGTATAATATCCAAAAATGCTCAAAACTAAAAAAAACAACTTCGTTTTCTTTCAACTATTTTTTAACAGCTGATGTTTTGAGTGAAGACTCCATCATCAAATGGTACAATGGAGCACACTCTTCCAAGGGCAAAAGCGTCTTCCTTGAGCAGATGAAAAAAATGGTTGAGTGGCTCAAAAGTGCTGAGGAAGAGTCTGGTTCCGAAGATGAAGAAGATGAAAACTAGAGTGAACAATAATTATAAAGAAATCATTATTTTGTTGTGACTGAAAAAAAAACTTGTGTCATATTATGTAATAACTGTGTATAAACCTGTATATTTAGAGCACCTGCAGTAAAACCATGACTAAATAATGACTAAACAAATAGTTTTCTATCTACTTACTATTTTGTCAGTATCAACTTTGTTTTTATTTCATGGTTTCACTGAATGCGCTCTAGGAAAGCGCATGTATAATTTCAAGTAATGATCTGTTAAAAGCCTATGTATTAGTCCATAATAAACAAAACATTTTACCCAGAGTCTATTGGAGATGTATGAGTTCAATGAATATAGATGTTATCTATCAAATAAACTGACATTGTAAAGCATCACACAAATCTAATAATCTATCAAATCTTGATATGCATAGTGATCTCCAACTTACTCTTAGTTATCCATGCGTGATTACAGCTAATTCACGTCACGCTTGATCAGTAATTCTGAAAAGGGTAGTAGGGTGTTGGTACAGGTTGTCAGTAGGGTGTTGGTAGGTTGTCAGTAGGGTGTTGGTAAAGGTTGTCAATAGGGTGTTGGTACAGGTTGTCAGTGGGGTGTTGGTAGGTTGTCAGTAGGGTGTTGGTAGGTTGTCAGTAGGGTGTTGGTAAAGGTTGTCAGTAGGGTGTTGGTACAGGTTGTCAGTGGGGTGTTGGTACAGGTTGTCAGTGGGGTGTTGGTACAGGTTGTCAGTAGGTTGCTGGTACATGTTGTCAGTGGGGTGTTGGTACAGGTTGTCAGTAGGGTGTTGGTACAGGTTGTCAGTAGGGTGTTGGTAAGTATTCAGTAGGATGTTATACAGGTGGTCAGTAGGGTGTTGGTAGGTTGTCAGTAGGGTGTTGGTAAAGGTTGTCAGGTAAAGGTTGCTAAGGTAATAAGCTAATAATTATACAGGCAACATACTGGAAGCAAATTTAATGTCTTAATCTTTTCTAATCAACACTTGAATCTCGTTTTTGGATCTCAATCTTGTAAAACTTCTCTGTACAAAGAGTTTATTCTGATTAAAATTATTTTTCTTATTCAAGAAGATGATGGCTGGGCAGAAGCAGGGAGCTGGTTGATTGTTTCGGTTTGCTGAGCTGGTTGGAAAACTTTACCACACACCCTCCATCGCCCATATTTGTTTGGGAGATGTCGTTCGAGAACCACAAAATCTATTAATTTCTTCACGACTTTGTCACTGCCCTTGACGTGGCGACCATGCTTATCTTTAACTGCCATAACCTGGGGAAATATTAGGAAAGACCAAAACATTAATCATATGTTAATAAAGTGTATCTACCTTTCTATTCACACAAATATTTTCTTGCCATAGATTTTGGGATGCATGCTCTTTGATATATAATTATTCAAATGGTTGTAATATTTGACCAATTCTCGTCAAAATTGGTATTCATGGTATTGGTGTCTTTTTTGATTGGCTATAGAAATTAGAGATTGAAAAGTAATTAAAGCCAAAATTAATTTATTCTCAACGTCACACTTGAGTACTCTATTTGGTACTTAAAATAAATGTGTTTATCCTATAATTATCCATAAAATACCCATATTTCTCCTTTTCGAAAAACTGATATTTTCAAAAATAACATGTTATTTTCACATGTGAAAATATCGTTTCCATGAGTATTTAAGCTATTAGTTTATATATAAAAACGTTTTTATAATAATAAAAAGCTTGTAAAGTTGATTTTATGGATAATTATATAATAAACAGAATATTACATGGGCACTTGGAGATCGAATCGAGCAATCTGATTGGATAGATCGCATCGTGGACTGGTCTAGATTCTCCGGTATTAACCCGTCCAATCGCATATTAATCTTACGCCGAAAACATTTTGGCCTTTTCAATGAAAAGTGGTCATATAATAAAACTCTTATCAACCGAGCTTGGTCGGTCTGTACGGGATATTATCATATGACCCGTACGGCCCTGCTCGCGCGCTCTAATAAAACCATTGGAAAAAGTCACGTGATGGGGGCCGGACGGGTTGACGTAAGCGGGCCGGAAAAACCCGTCCGGCCCTGCTCGAATCCGCGCACTTTCTTTTTCTTAATCATTTTTATTTTTGTGAGGGTCATATGATAAAATGCTTATTGACTGAGTTAGGTCGGGCCGTACGGGAAAATATTTGGCTCTCGGTCATTTGTACGGCCCTCGCTGCGCTCGGTCCGTACGACAGGACCTCGAGCCAAATATTTTCCCATACGGCCCTCCCACTCAGTCAATGAGTACATAATCTTGACCTCGGTCGGGTACAGACCTCGGTCAAGATTATCCCGTACAGACCTCCCGCTCAGTTAATAAGATCTAAATACAGACTGGTCATAAGGTAATGTAGGTACTGATATCTAAATAACATGATCCCCAAGAGAGTCAAATTAAAGGTTGAGCCCAAATGGCCCACCACCATTTCTCCTACTTCTCAGATTCCTATCTATCTATGCTATCTATTGCTATGCACTGATGAAGACAAAAGTTGCAACAGATTAATCACAGCAATAGACAAGCAACGATGAATCAAATAATCAGTAAGGTATTTTTGTTAGTCTAGAGAATATAAATGGACAGGGAAACTTTGGAAAGGGACATGGGAATGATGTATTTGATTGACGGAAACATGTAGCAATGAAAACAGCGTTAAAGTGCATATGACACGAAAAAA